AATAAGCCGTGCACTAATTTTCAATCGCAAATGATGACATTTGCGTGTACGCAAAGTTGCATCAATTTCAAATAAAGCCCCCCTGTACAGTTTAAAGTTCAAATACTAATATACCCGAATAGAATGCCGCCGTCGTGCGGCGCAAGAGTGTAAGATCCGGCCCTGTTCCTGAGGTTAAAATAGTTACTTATGTACCGAGGGCGCAATTAGGGTGTTTGCGGCCCGCCGCGTGGAAAATAAAGCACGAAGCGCAGCCGAGGGCTTTAACCACGCGAAGGGCCTCAAACACCATTTGCGCCTGTGGCACATACAAAATTGTATGTATGATCGCGAATTATTATGTTTTATTTCAAATATTTTTAAACAAATTATGAATCAGTGGCGACGCCAGGGGGGGCCGGGGCCCCCCCTGAAATTTAGCGGGCCCCCCCTGAAAACTTGCCATCATGTCGACAACAATGCAATGCAAATACAAGATGAGTAACTTCTGTTCTCTGTATAATTTGATATTTGGTTGGCAGGTGGGCACCAGGCAACCGCGACTATGCTTTCGCTTTTCTGGGATTCCCGTGCGAAAAATATTTTTTCTACTTGCGTGCGCAAAGTAATCACTTTGCACACACATTTGCGTGCGCAAAGTTGAACTTTGCGCACGGAAACTCTTTGCGCACTCATTTTTGTTACGCATAATTACCATAGTTATACTTGATTGTTCAATGTTTTGATGGTTTCTGAATAAACCAATATTCAAAATGAAGGGTTTCAATTGAAATTAACGCTTAGTTAACATGATGTTTCCTATCAAAGGTGTTCAAATTGGACCACCCTGTACTGCTAGGAATTTGTAAAATTTTTGATATTTAAGAGACTCTCATGAAAATATTCTTGCTGATTCTAGAAATTCCAGAAGATGTAAAAAGATATTTGGGGATTTAATTTAAAAGACATTCTGAGGAATTCCAGTAGATTTTAAACGATTTTTGAAGATTTTGATTTGATTGATTTTTCTAATATTTTAACAATTCAAAGTTTACTTTTTTGAGATACTCGTAGAAAAAATATTGTTCCTAACACTTGCGCAAAGTGTCTTTCCCGCACTCAAAGCTTATCCGAACTTCGCTTCGCATCGTTCGTCTAACTGCTTTTTCGTGCGGGAAAGTATCACTTTGCGCACTAGTTAGGGAAATAACTATTCCGCAAGTGTTAGGTACAATATTTTTCCTACATGTAATTATTTTTTTTTTTTTGACATATCAGTGCGGTAAAATTTTTTCCGCACTGACAGCCGTGCGGAAAAACTTTTTCCGCACTGATATGTCAAAAAAAAAAGTTTTACCGCACCGTGCGGGAAAACTCATTTTCCGCACGCATATCAGTGCGGAAAATCGATTTTTCCGCACGGCTGTAGGAAATAGTTATTTTCCTAACAAGTGCGCAAAGTGTTACTTTTCCGCACGCAAACACAGTTATACGAACGACGCGAAGCGAAGTTCGGATACGTGTTTGCGTGCGGAAAAGACACTTTGCGCACGTGTTAGGAACAAAATTTTTCCTACGAGCTTCATATCAGGTAGGTAATAACAAAAATTAAAAAAAAAACGATAATTTGTTTAATTATTTTTAATTAACTTGAAGGGAACCTATGCATTTATCAAAAAATTACATAACAAAAAAAAAAAACTGAAAATCCTCGTCAGAGCTGTTCATCTTAAAGCGTTTAAATTTGATGAGAAAGTTTGTTGATTTTTGCATATAAATAGAGAACAAATCTGACAATGTGTCAAAGTTAATTTATTTTTGGTGTTTGTATAGATGTGGGCTGATATAGAAACAGAGGAAAAATTTGTCATCATGTGTCAAAGTCGACAGGTGCACTTATTGTTGCTTGACAATTATAATTACTTTTCAGCACTCAGTGCGGATAAGGCCTGTATCCGCACTGAGTGCGGAAAAGTGTAACTTTGAGCCCGGAAATGCGTGCGGAAAAGTACTACTTTGCGCACGCTCGTAGGAAAACATATTTGTGTCGGCAGGTACAGGGTTTTCCTGTGTTTTTTTGGCACCTCACCTGAAGGCCGGTTTATCAATAGCAAGCAAGTCACCCCCGTGTCAGAGCAGTTAACCATAACTCCAGGGTAAACATTGAAATTGGACACGTTTACCCTGGACGGTTAATTGAATAGGTATCAAGAAGATTTACCTATACAGGGTGTCCGTTTTTCGAGAGCAATCATTGGAATATAGGAAACGGAAGAGATACAGGTTCGGTTAAATTGGGACAAAGTTGCGCAATTTCTTGCTTAACAAAACGCTACTTCGAAATTTGGAAATTTCCGAATACTTCCGGAGATATACGGAAATCAAAATTTTGTAAAATCATTTCTATTTTTTCCTGGACTCATTTGTAAGGGTATTTCAAATAAACTTCACTTTATTGCGGCAACTTTCTTCCCTTTACATAATGGTGTAACCAAATTTGAAATCCGACGTTTCTTCTTTTGCCGATCATCATCAGCTTTATTTTTTTAAATAGAGGTTTGCATTTTTATGAATTGTATTCGGAGTTTCTTGATCTCACAAAAGCAGTAACACATTTCGCCATTGATTGCGATTTTGTATCTCTTACCGTTTCCTATATTCCAATCGTTGTCCTCGAAAAACGGACACCCTGTATACAAAATCCAAATAAAAACCTTTTTCTACAAACGTGTTAAAAATACAATTTTTAACACCCCCCTGTAGCATTTAAAATGTTACTTTATCGCACTAGTGCCATAAAGTCTTTATAGCACTAGTGTTAAAAATAAAACATCAAATTTTGAGAGCGAACGTCAGAAAAAGCTTGTATTTTTAGTTATTTACATTGATATTAATGGTGAAATTTGAACAACTGAAGTAGCCCGATTGGCCGCCTCATCTATATTTTTCAAGGGATCGATGCAACCCCTTTTTTTCTTCTGTATTTTGTTGCATTTTTAGCAAAAAGCATTACTGACCACGACAGACTTTCAAGAAACTGACAAGACATTTCATTACCTGTAAAACAAGGTGATGGTTGTTTGGGTTTTTTGACAAGTGTCAAATTCAATAATTTTATGTAAAAAAGATGCTTCCAATTTATTATTCATTTAAAAATCCAATTTGTTACTGGTTATTTGGTTATTGCTTTTTATTGCCGTTTGTAGAAAAATATTGTATGATATTTGTGTTAAAAGTATTTTTAAGGCACTTATGTGAATTGCAAATGCAAACTTTCACATGCGTACCTTAAAAATGTACTTCTAACACTTATATCATAAATAACTATTTTGATACCTATTCAATTAACCTGTTCAGGTGGAGTGCAAAAATATACGGGAAAACTTTGCATTTTTTATTTCAAAGAAGAAAAGCAATAAAGTAAGAACAAGTGCCCCCCCCCAATTTTTTCTGGCCCAGCCGCCTGGCCCCCCCTAACGTAAAACCCTGGCGTCCCCACTGTTATGAATAAATTAAGAACACGCCACCCGAGGTGGTTATTTTTAATTGACCAGTAGAAACTGCAGTTTCCAACCAAACAAACATTGAATTCAATCATTTTGGTTAGTTTTTAAGGCCTCAACGGCCCCCCCTTCAAATTATATTTTAGTTCTAAAAAAAATTATAGATGGCGCCAAGATGAAAGCATTTTTACAGTGGAGCATTTTAAATATTATAGCGATTTCAATTTGCAGAATCAGTGCAACTTTTTTCACTCAGTTCGCACTAATTGGCTAATTAAATTATGGAGGGATTTGTATTTCCATGCCTCGTATGACTTCAAATTTTGTTCTACTCTGTAAAAGTGATGTTTTGTTGTAGAGCTTGTTTTTGAGGTATGTTTAGTTGTGGTAGGTACCTATGAGATTTTCAGGAAGCAATTGGCACATGAATGGGTTTACAAATAGAGGAATACTCGGAGGAATAATAAAAAAATAGTCCTACCAGGAGTCTTACACAATTTCAGATATTCGTAAAAGATCCAAGAGCTAGTAAAAGAAATGCAAATCGCCAGATACCTAAATTGAATGCTCTACTGCATTGGTAAAAATAATAAAAAACAAAACAAATACACAAGGTGAGAAAGAGGCTCTGTTGTTAATAGGCTTTTTTGGAAACGCTGAACAACCTACATCAGCTGCTGCTCCAACGGTTCGGGTTTTCCGAAAACGCCTAATTATGACATCACGAATTGACTGGTGGCGCCATCTTCGAAAAAAAGCCTGAACTATATTTGCCAAAATATCTGTAATTTTATTCCAAAATCGGTTTTACACTACAAAAAAAAAAAAACGGCACATCAGAATTTGCTGAAATTTGGCATAAACATTCTTTGATCGATTATCTAGAGAATAGTGCTCTTATTTTTTCAATTTTTACCGTGAATTTTTCTATTTTTGGGAAATAGTTCATTTTCACAGTATAGGCCAAAAAAAAATTAGAAATATAGAAAATCTAACTGCACTATTCTCTAGATAATCGATCAAGGAATGTTTATGCCAAATTTCAGCAAATTCTGATGTGCGGTTTTTTTTTGTAGTCTCAAACCGATTTCTGTATTATGTATCGTGTGCATGGGAGCGATGTTGCCCCCTTAAGGATAAAAATAACCACACTGTGCCACTATTTACTATTTGACTGCGGACCGAGAAATATCAAATTGCGCCCGCAAATTAAAGCACAAATAGGTGCTTTGCGGCCCGGTCGTACATAAACCCCTTAAAACCAACTGTCGAGAAAATTGTTACCGCCGTTCTCAAGATAACATAGCTGAAAATACATACATACAATTTTTACTTGTTTAAGATAATATGATGTTTCATTATTTTTTTTGCATAAAAAGCGCCGAGAGCACGATTCTTCCCAAATTAGTTTATAGTAAACAGCTCCTTTCCCTATGAGCTCAATGGAAACAGCCGAGGCGAAAATAAAAACTAAAAAATTATGCCTACCTGATATTTATAAGAAAATCATAAACTTACCTGCAAAATTATTCGAAATAACTTTCACTTGACTAAAACTACCAACGTGACAACCACCTGCGCCTGCCTGATGCCTGATGAAATAAAAAATTAAATAAAAATAATAAAATAAATTGACAATTGACACTTGACAGCAGATAATAAGAACAACTCCCGAAAAAATGATCCGATCCGCCCCTCAGCAAGGTTTCTTAAGTTAATAGGTTGTCTGATTATGGCAGGGTAATGGGAAACGAATGACGTCATCTGGGTTGCCTAATGGAGATTTGCAGGTTTCGGCACCCCGGATGCATATTTATTTTCTGCCAGTAATAGGGAATTCGGCTGTAGTCGTGTTGTTCGTTCGAGTACAGCGTAGGCAAAAAGTGGAATGTGTTGGCAGTTTACAGAGCTGGCGTTAGCAAAAATATCCTCTAGATTCAGTTGGAAAATTGCCGAAATTGGCAGTTATTGTTAGTTGTTGGCACATGTTTCTGCGAAATGCGATAACGAATGAAGAAATAAATAGTGTCGCAGAAATACTATAAATTCAAATATCGCACCACGGCGTAGGAAAATCGTACCGCACACCGCACCTTTTATCGATCGGCGACGGACTTGAGCGCCATCATAATTTCCCTTTGAGGGTAGCTGGCAGCAGCGCTGCCACCTCTACCGATTTATCGGTAGATCTACCGATTTTCAAATGATTCTACCAATCTTCCGATTTTAAACCATTTTCTCACGATTTTTCTGCAATTTATTGGTAATGCAACAAATATGTAGATATATATTTTAATTAAAATAAAAAATAAAATTGTTTCTAATTCCGCAAGAAAATCTATGTCTCGTATGTCACGTCACTGATGATCACTTATCATCACTTATGAAAACGCTATTGAAATTGAAAGTCGCTACAAATAATAGGTTTGTTCGGACTTAGTTCAGAATCAGTTCTAAATTGAACTGCGCTTGCGCATTTGTTCATATCGAACATAAATGAACAAATGCGCATGCGCAGTTCAATTCTGAACTGATTCTGAACTAAGTCCAAACAAACCTATCAGGCAGTTTTTCGCGAGGATAACCAAGCATACCCAATTATGCTCAGATGTTATGTGTCAATTGTGTCATACTCGACCCCTATTACTCCCCCACTATCAAATTCTGGGATACTCGAGAATCAAGAACACTTAAAACTTCTTCTGTGAGAACAAACCGAAAATCACCTTTTCTATATTTGAAATCGACGAAAAAATTAACTCACTAACTAGCGCAACCTGAATCTGCATTCCATCGCGGTCTGCAGGTAACGCCAGCACTATGCTGCAGGTAGTGACGTCACTCGCAGGACAGGAATTGGTTTGATTATGCTCGCGAAAAATTGAAATAGGAATCACATTCCACAATAAAATTATGACTAAATTTATTGACTGGTTTTATATACTTAAGCAAATTCTGGCGGAATGACGTCATATGACGCAATCGCCTAGCTACCGATTTTTAAACGAAAACTATAGATTATTTCTCCAAGAATCTACTGACTTCATTCCGTCAGAAGTGGCAGCACTGTCTGGCAGTCACAACCGAGCTGGGGGGACAGATTGGACAGAATGATATTGCGCGCTCATTTATTTTAATGAGTCGCAAAAACCAAAAATGAAATATTGTTATAGTGTTACTATTTATTTATAAAATGTCAAAATATTTCTATCAAAACTCTGTCAAAAAAGCTAAACAAAAATTTAATCGCTGATAAACAAGGTCTTGTGAAATAATCACTTATTTAAACAAAACTCATTCAAAAAATGACATTGTCTGATGGGTCTATTTTATAATGAATGAAATAATCAGAATTAATTAAATTGTGTAAAAAAATTAAAAATATCAGAAAATCCCTAGAATTTATCTATATCCCTAGACAATTTTTTTTCCATATTTATCCCTGAAACTAGGGACAAATCCCTAGAGTTGGCATCACTGGTCATAAGTACAAACCTTCGTGAAGCAACACTCGTTTTCGATGCTGGAGCCCTCTATTGATGTGTAATGGAGGCGCCACAGCAACTCCCTCCTCAATGGCCCTCGCAAATCGCAGCCTATCCTCATAAGGCCTGTGTGGAACAAATCACCCCTCCTTCCTCCACCCCAAATCGTCAGTTTTGACGTAGGCAGCATGTTATTTCTCGCCTTGACGTAGGCTGTTTGAACAGCTGACGACTTAGTTATGACGTCGAAGATGGTGACACCAATATTGTGGCTATTACCAAAAACGTGTCCAATAGGCAATCCTGCAGGTGTGTATCATCCTTGGCGAACGGCATGAAAAAGTGACTCGCTTCTTCGGGGTAAGGATAATAGTTGTATTCCTTTCAAGAGCTTGAAACACTCGAGCTACTCGCTTCGGTGCTTAGTCGCCCCCGATTTACAGGGAACATATGCGTGGTGCAACAAACACTTTTCGAAAGGAATAAGCGCGTGAAGCCCCGGAGCTGTTCCGGAGCTCCTCCTAGGTGTGAAAGGAATACAACTAATAGCAATAGACTGATGTTAGTGATATCCAATGAACTATAACCAAAAACTGGAATGCCAACACATAAGGACGAACTTGAAGCCTAGTGCGGCTGTTGCGGAGGGGATACCTGTTTTTGTCGCACTCAGTATGTTAAATGGCGAAAATTGCTTCCAACACGTATTCCAATTGATGAAACCTGTGAAGGGAAATATGACAAAACTTTCGAAAAAGTCATATGTCAGGGAGCAACAGAAAAAAACAACATTCCCCCTTGTGGCATCTGTCTTTCATGGCTTCATTTTTTTGGCAGATATGGCAATGTGTGCGCATTCCAGTTTTTAGCTATAGTTCATTGGTGATATCTATGAGGCGAAACTTGACTTTCTGGCAGCGGTGGTGAAGGAAACGAGTTATCGGCTCCTTTCCATAGCGTCATAATAAATAAATATCGGTTCCGAACAAGAGCTTGGTGGGAGCCCAAAAAAAATCTAAAAGATTAATGCCCGTATGCACCATTGCACAAATTCTCTGATTAAGACTTTTTTTGTTTTGTTTATTTGGTTCCGATTTCAAATTTCATGTTTACATTTTACAAACTATTTGTAAAAAAAAAAACTGGAAAATTTGTGTGAGGTGATGAGCCAGGAAAAAAGAGAAATGAAATCAGGAATATGGAGTGGAAGACCTATTACTTGACGATGATTAATTTGGATACTAATGCAATTAGATGGATTTCCGTTTCGAAGGCGTTGGAATGAGAGGGAAAATTATTTTGAAGCCTTGGATGATCTGATCTTATAAGCCAATAGTCGTAGATCATAGATCTTCTTGAAGAGGTAGAAGATGCCCTATCATTATTATAGGGTGTAGTATCTATATATCCTATGCAAATTTGTGACTTGATTCCAATAACTAGGTAATGACTATGTAATTACTGTTTATTTCAAATAAAATGCCCTACATGCCCTGGATGTTTTGTTTGTTTGATTATAAAATTAAAATTCATCGACAAAAACGCAGATATGACGGGTCTCGCCAACCCCACATACCGTAGGGTGACCATACGTACAGCATTTCGCTGTATTGTACAGCATTTTGAAAGTCTGTCCAGCATTTGATTTTGTACAGCAAACGTACAGCGAAAGTCTATGCTAACGCCGCATCTCTACATTTGCGATTTACGTCATTTACGCGATCATCCAGAGTATCACGCCTAGTACTCATAACAGCAAAATTCGCTCTTTTTTTAAATTACTTCGACAATTTGACGTTTTATACGTGAATCAAACGTCAAATTGTCGAAGCAATGTCAAAAAAGAGCGATTTTCGCGGTGTTGAATACTACACCACTCTTTTTAATGTTCGCTACCTTTTTTATCCCTTTCTATTTTACACCGCTGAAAACTCTAGAAAACAGACAAAGCATTAGCGGTTCAGGATACATTCACAAACATGTGGCTAAACGCCTTCCACCTTCTACTCCGATTTTGTTTGGTCTGGCAGGTGGCCACATTGCCTGTCATTGATCGTGATTCCAGCCCTGGGCTGAGACACGGACTCAGGTATCACGACAAGTAAAATTGTACTAGAATTCTACTTTCGTGACGTCAAATTGTCTAGTAGCCGTTATGATATGGCCTGTACTGTACGCAATAAATGGGTCGCGGGTGACGTCATGAAAGTAGTATTCTACTTGTCGTGATCCCAGCCCTACTTTCATGACGTCACCCACAACCTATTTATCGCGTACACTACAGGCGATGACGAGGGTTGCTATGCAACCTGACGTCATGAAAGTAAAATTCTAGTAGAATTCTACTTGCCGTGATCCCAGCCCAGGTTGCACTTTGTGACTTTGGCGTTAGTTTCGGTACTGTGTCTTTTTTTTTTTCTTTCTCCACTCACCTTTCCCAAAATTTTAAATGTGTACAGCATTCATACAAAAAAAATATGGTCACCCTAACATACCGCCAACCCAAAATGGGCTTTTATTAAAATCTATAGGAAATTTGCGAAGTTATCGGTGAGCTCCTTTCAGCTGGCCCTTATTACAAAATCACAATTAACTAATTTGAGTGCAAAATCCTTTGGTGCATCGAACCGACATTTTAACCGTGATTACATAATTATCCGTGATTAGCTAGCTAATAACGAAAATACGTGAAAATGGTGAATAGTTGTATTCCTTTCACACCTAGGAGGGACAGCTCCGGGCGTTACGCGCTTATTCCTTTCGAAAAGTGTTTGTTGCACCGAGTACTCAAGCCCAAAGTAAACCATAAATGCACGAAAGTCAGCGCATCTGTTCCTTTCAAATCGGGGTGACTAACACCGGAGCAAGTAGCTCTAGTATTTCAAACTCTTGAAAGGAATACAGCTACATACTGGAAAGCAGCTTATATCCTATTGGCGGTTCACTCTCGTACTCTCTCCGTTCCAGCGGACGCACCGGTGCGGCGTGATCCCGACAATCCCGAGCCGTTGATCGAAACGAGTCTGTCGGTGTAGTGTACTCCGTCTCTGACTCCGTGTCCCTACTCCGAGTCCACACTTTTCCTGTTCAACTGGCCCGCGCGGCGTGATCCGATTAGTTCGGGTTTGAGTCCGAGTCCGTACAACGTAGACAACGGAAAAGTGGTCCGGACTTGAACTCGAACTTGGACCGGACCTGTTTATTTTGCAGTGGATCAGTTCCCACTGTGAAGAACAGTTCCAGTATTTGGCCCTAATAATAGCCCATTTTGGGTTGGAGAGACCCCATATCTGCGTTTTTTTATTTTGCGATAAATAAATTTTAGGTATACACAAACAAACAAAGCATCCTGGGCATTTTAATTGAAATAATCAGTAATTACCGTAATTACATAGTCATTAGTTATTGGAATAAAGCCATAAAATTGCATATTATACTACCACCCTATCATAAGTTAGGGCATCTTCCACCTTTTCAAGAAGATCTACGACTATTGTTTCATAAGATCATCCATCCAAGGATTCAAAATAATTTTCCGTCTCATTCCAACGCGTTGGAAACCCATCTAACATAATCATTTTTTATCAGTATCCAAATCATCGTCAAATAATAGGTCGTTCACCTCCACATTCCTTTTGATTTCTCACTGCTCACCCACGCCACGTACATCGAATCGACTTTTTAACCGTGATTACATAATTAGCCCTGATTAGCTAATTACTAAAATACCTGAAAATGGTGCATACAGGCATAAGGGCGGGTATTATAAAACTGCTTTGACAGTTAACTTGAAGTTAACTTTTTGAATTACATGTAATTCCAGAAGTTAACTTTAAGTTAACTCTCAAACTAGTTTTATAATACCCGCCCTTAAGGCAAGGAGTGTTGCGTTGCGTTGACGTCAAAGTATATTATTTTGTTTGGGTTAGATTTTCCCTTTGAATTGTTGGAATTTTCGACATTTTTATACAACAATCGTAAACAGGATTGCTCATCATAATAAAGTCTACGTTCATCAATTCTTGAGCAGATAGGGTCTGCGAGTGACGTCGCCACAGCTGCTAATAGTGATGACGTCACCCGCAGATCTCGAAGGAAAGCTTACGATTCAGGCTGTCGGCTGTGCTCGTTATTTGATTTTTTCGTCGATTTTAAATGTAGAAAAGGTGATTTTAACAAGAATTTAATGTTTAGGAATTCATTTTTTTTTTGTGCTTTAAACTCGAATAATGCATTTTACTCCAAGACTGGAGGTCTGCGGCTGACATAGCAGTTGGCAGACACTTTAAGCTCAATAAGCAGTCCCACTAGGAATTGAAAACAGGATAATTTCTGCCATTTGCTGGACACCTGAAACTAAGATGATCCATAAAACGTCAAATTGTTGAAGGAATGTCAAAAAGGAGCGAATTTCGCTGTTATGAGTGCTAGGCTTAAGTTAAACCGCTTAACACTTGCGAGAAATATGGTATTTCCCGCACTTGTTAGAAAAATAAAAAAATAACTATTTTTTTCCGAATTTGATATGAAAAATTTTTCCGCCCTGTAGGAGAACAAACTAGTTTCCAGTTCCACTCCAATCAAAAGGCAGTGCTTCAAAATACAAAATTTGTAGTTTCAATTTTATTCAATTTTCAATTTATTTTATCATAAGCAGTTAGGTATAATCAAATTATAAAAGGTTATTATATTCTCTGTCGACTCAAAACTCAAAAGGCCAGGATAATAATAATAAACAACTGTGATGGCGTGACGTAGCGTTGACTCCAGTCCAAACATGATAGTTCTCGGACACGAATACGCAAAAATCCTCCAATCCCTTAGGGTGGAGTTTCATGCATCCGTTTTTCCGACGAAATATGTCCGAAAAGTCTTCTATTTTGACATATTTGTTTTTCGGACATATTTCGTCGGAAAAACGGATGCATGAAACTCCATCCTAATTCTGTTCACATTTTGACAGTTAAGTTGAGTGAACTTTTTGTTTTTGTTTTCTAACTTATTATTTATCCTGAAGATTCTAAGTTTGATTAATTTTCCCTTGGTGATCTTTATGGAGGAATTATTGTTGCTGTTCTTGCAGACGGAAATGAAGCGTAAACTAATTTGACAATGACATAGCGTTACGGTAAGGCATCCGCTAAATCCCGTTAGATAGCGGGCTTCGCTAACGCTAATACCGTAAGAACTGTCATACCTGTCACATAGCGTTACGGTATTTGAAATTTGGACAGCACGAGATCTCTCTAATATCTAACAGAAAAATTTATTATTCTATAATTTATGGTTTATTTTCTATTGGATTTCTCTGCCTATCTGATCTGCAACAACTTCAATAACAATTATTATTATTTATAATAAAATTTTGTGTTCTCGATCAGTTAATTACAGTTTGTATTTTTTGCATTGCATGTATAAAAGGTTTACTGGTAGTTGTATTCCTTTCAAGAGTTTAGAACACTACAGCTACTCACTCTGGTGACCGGTGTTAGTCGACCCCGATTTGAAAGGAACAAATGCGCTGGCTTCCTTGCATTAAATGGTTTGAGTTCGGGCTCAAAGTGACTGATGAAAACACGAACAAAATTCCCAACTTTTCTCTGGGAGAAAGGCAAAGTCTCCTGAGAAAACTTTCAAAATTCGCTTGTCAATGAGTTATAAATTAGGTTATACAACTCACTGTACATTATTCCCATATGACACGAGAGGATTAACAAGTGATAATCCTTCCCATATGACACGAGAGGCTTAAGAAGTGATAATCCTTTTGCACGGTAACTGGTGTTTTGACATTTTTTGACAAAAAAATTTAAATTTTTGATTCATGAAATTATTAATTAATAAAGAATTAAAGTTTAGTTCGTTGTATAACCTTTTGAATACCACTCGAGTTTTCAGGATTACCTAATACTTTTACCTTACCGTTTCGTGACAGGTAAAAGTATTATCCGGTAATCCTGAAACCTCTTGTGGTATTACATTCGACAATTCAATCCATCTGTCAAAAAGGAAAATTCAATGTGACGTGGCGGCCAAACAAGTTTGTTTTGAATATGTTTTTATGCGTATTTTAAATTATTTTGCATACAGTTTTGCTTACAACTTTGATTTCCATTATTTAATAAAATATTTGTTGACTAGGTACCTAAACTATTAATTCGGGCAGAAACTAGATATTTTTTTGTGTTTTTTGGCCCATGTGTGGCCGCCACGCCATCTTGAATGTCACTTGGTTTGAATTGCCTAATTCGGCACATGTCTTCTAGTTTCTGAGTTATTGAACATCAAAAACCGAATTTTAGCGACGAATGTAATTTATCAATAGTTTATCCAAAGAAGAACCATAGTTCGTCTTGTGACGTCATGAAATTGAACCTTGGCTTGAAGTTGCGTCCATGCTTGCGGCGAACTACGTTTGATATGACATCATGAGTATCTCGCGAAAGCGTTTGTGTTTATGAAATCATGGAAGTAGTTCCTCGCGAAAATTTGGTTAAAGTTGAGTTCTAGTCGACATACAATTATTTTTTGAATAAACTGCCAATAATTGATAGAAGGGCCAGAAGTGGGAAGCTTAGGTTTAAGTAAAACAACATTTCAACTTTAAAGTTTTTGCAAAAACGCCCTTCAAATCGCATTCCTTGATCTCCATCAAAAAATCTAAGTAATTTTTACGGACAAAGACATACCTACGATTTCGAAGAGATTTTTCGATTTCCCTGTATATGTATGTATTCATATTTTATAATATAAGTCGTTTAATCTTTCCCTCTCCAAAACGCAACACAATTATGATCAGATTCGCGTGAGGTTGCGTCATTAACCAAAAATCGCTACCTCACGTAAGTCAAACTTAAGTATGTAGTATGTACATATCTTAATTATTAATTACAATTGATTGATTATTATATTTAATAAATTCTCTGTGGGTTCTCTAACAGTCTGGTTAATTGGCAAATAATTGAAGAGGGGTGGAAGGATACGTGAGCTGTAGGCCACTGCAACTGAAAATTAAAGCTTAATGACATTTATTTTGTCAAATAATATGATACTAACCCAACCCAAAGTACGTGGTCGCACTTATTCACGTTGGTCAGGTCGCCACGACGCTCATCATGGCCAGCTTCAAAACGTTATCCGACGCTGCGTCAAAAGTGTCGCCGACGTGTCGTCACCTGTTGCCTCCCGTGTCGCTCTCATCGCCCAAAGAGTTGCTGTGCGCGTGTACGTTGTAGCTGGGCGACCGATTGTGACGACCCTGAAATCAGACCAATTTTGGAAAGTTTTGAGAAAGAAAAGAAAAAAAAATGTCTCACCTGCAACTGAGATCCGTCAGATCCGCGTCTCAATCCGTTCTTTCGGTCCGTGCAAAAGATTATCCGCTTGAAGGCGTGTCGAAAGTCTTTAGCGAACAGCGCGTAAATGAGCGGATTGAGGGCGCTGTTGCAGTAACCCAGCCAGAAGAGAATCGAAAAGGCGAGCGGATCGACGGCGTCCGCGCGAAATGCGCGCACCAGGTACATGGTGAAAAAGGGCAACCAGCAGCAGACGAAACCGCCCACTATGATGCCAAGCGTTTTGGCCGCTTTGGTTTCCATCCGGAAGCGTTTTACCTAGAATCAAAAATCATTTTGTATGCCAAGACCGTGAAATGCCTTCTTAGCGTAGGTATGCTGAGGTTGCTAGGCCTACTATACTACAGAATCTCCGGCGGATAACTGGACAAGAGCTTGGTGGGAGCCCCAAAACAATTCTAAAAGATTAAGGGAGGATTTTCATGCATCCGTTTTTCCGTCGAAATATGTCCGTTTAACATTCTATTCTGACATATTTATATACGATTATGTCAGAATAGAATGTTAAACGGACATTTTTCGACGGAAAAACGGATGCATGAAAATCCTCCCTAAGTCAAGGAGTGCTACGTTGCCAAATTGACGTCAAAGTATATTATTTTGTTTGGGTTAGATTTTCCAACAGGTGCGGATGTTTGTTGTTTAACAAGTGATGAAAACAGCAGTTTTCAAAATATGGAGGTAATGTTTTCAAGTTGCAGAAAATTATTTTTAAAGAAAATTGTTTATTTTTCAATGGTCAGAAAAAAAGTTCTTTGCAGATGCTAGTTTGTTTGTGCAATGAAACATTTGGAATTTGTTGGAATTTTCGATATTTTTATACAATCGTAGGCCGGAGTCTCATGCTTTCCGACAAAAGATGTCCGAAAAAGGTTCTATTTTAACATATTTTTATACGATTATGTCAGAATATAAGGTTTTTCGGACATTTTTCGTCGGAAAACGGATACATGACACTCCAGCTGTAAACAGGATTGCTCATCATAATAAGGCGTACGTTCATCAATTCTTGAGTAGGAAGGTTATACGCATGACGTCGCCACAGCTGCTAATAGCGATGACGTCACCCGCAGACCTCAATGGAAGGCTTGCTATTCAGGCTGTGCTTGTTATTTGATTTTAACGTCAATTTTAAATGTAGAAAAGATGATTTTAACAAAAATTTAATGTTTGGGAATTAATTTTTTTGTGTGCTTTAAACTCGAATATTGCATTTTACTCCAAGAGTCCACTCTTGGAGTAAAATGCATGGTCTGCGGCTGACGTACCAGTTGGCAAACGCTTTTAGCTCAATGAGCAGTCCCACTAGGGTTTAAAAACAGGATAATCTCTGCCATTTTCTGGACACCTGAAACTAAGATGATCCGTTGTTTTCCTAAGAATGTACGGAAAAAAACTTTTGCCATGCACGAAGAGTAATCTTTCCGCACACCCTTGGGAAAAATTTTGTTCCTTATTCAAGCCTAGCTCTTTTTTGACTGCTTCGACAATTTAACGTTTGATTCACGCATAAAACGTCAAATTATCGAAGAGCTAATTTCGCTGTTATGAGTAGGTACTAGGCTTAATACTTACGAGAAATGGTATCTCCCACAATTGTTAGAAAAATAACAATTTTTTTCCGAATTTGATATGAAAAAATTTTCCGCCCTGTAGGAAAACAAACGAGTTTCCAGTTCCTCTCCAATCAAAAGGCAGTGCTACAAAATACAAAATTTGTAGTTTCATTTTTATTCAATTATCAAATTATATAAAAGGTTATTAAATTCTCTGTCCACTCAAAACTCAAAAAGCCAGATAATTAATAATAATAAACAACTGGGGTGGCGTGGCGTAGCGCTGATTCCAGTCCAAACATGAAAATGCCAAAAATTGCAACGTCGCATATACATTGTTTCGGGGCTATCACCAAGCTCTTGTGATAACTGGCCGACTAATGAGATTACAGATTGCATTTTTATCCGTCAGATTGCATTACCTGAGTTTATCCGAATAAACCGGTCTTTAATGTCGCTTTCATGTTAAGCTTGGAAAAACGGATAATTCGTCCCCTATCTCACGAACTGTCGTATCTCATTTTTTTCAAAATTTGAAATAAGTTGTCTGGAATTTTATTTTCCAATGTACCTACTTTAGGCTCACGAAGTATCGTATCTTAATCTACAGAGTGTTTGGTACATCGATAGGAAGTTTTCAAGGAGCGATAGTCAGCTCCGGTTTTATCACTAGGCAGACTAGGCGGCCACCTAGGGCCTGAACGCTCAATGGGGCCCGAAATTCACTCTGAAATCAAATATCTTATTTTGGCAACCTTGCACCACACCCAGGGTTGCCAGATCTATGAAATGAAAAAGCGGGACTGATGTGATCCAGGGTCCTTATTCTTGAAACCGGGGAGCAACATTCCCAGGAGAACGAGTGTTCCGTCTTTCTCAATGATATGCAAATAATAATATATGTAACAAAGACGGAATACTCTTTCTCCTGGGAACGCCGCTCCCCTGTTTCAAGAATAAGGACCCAGGGGGAAAGCTCGCCGCAAGCGAAACATTTTTTTCGGGTGCCACGCTCAAAAGCATTAGGGGGGAGAGGCAAGTGATTTTTGACGAAACCTGTTTATTTTTCAATGGCCAGAAAAAAAAAATGTTTGTAGATGCTAGTTTGTGCAATGGAAGATAGATTTGGAATTTGGATTTTGTTGCAATTTTTGACATTTTTATACCTATAACATACAACATTTATTATTAAAACCCAAGAATCGTAAACTAACAGGATTGCTCATCCCGAGAAGGCGTACGTTCGCCGGTTCTCGAGTCCACAAGGTCTGCGATTGACGTCACCACGTTAGCAGCTAATAGTGGTGACCTCACCTGCAGACCTTGATGAAATGCTTGCGATTCAGGCTCGTTATTTGAATTTTGCGTCGATTTTGAATGAAAAAATAGCTATTTATGTAACATAACAAGTTGTAAAATGAGCGTGTTCTTTGCACTAAATGTGGAGATTGGGTGGAAAAAGCGGGAAAACCGGGACAATTCACGTGAAAAGCGGGTCCTGCAATTATTAAAAAAAAGGCGGGACCGATCAACAAAATGCGGGACTGTCCCTCCTAAGGTGGGACGTCTGGCAACCCTGAATGAAGGTAACTGATACTAATGATTAATAATTCATTTCATTTTCAAAATGAGAACCTCCATTTCTAATGCACATACGTGCCCTCTTTCGTATTTGAGTAGTGGTGACGCCTAACCTCATTTCCTTCCTCATTATTACAGCTGCTTCGTCAATTCTCCTTATAAGTTGATCACGGTCGGTTATTTTAACCTCATAAACGAGTTGTTTCATTCGACCCCATGCATAAAAGTCGAGGGGCGTCAAGTCTGGAGACCTCGCTGGCCACAATATTGGCCCATTTCTTCCTATACAACGATTAGGAAATGTTTCATCCATAAATTCCCTCAAAGTAGCTCGGTAATGGGCAGGACATCCATCCTTCTGAAAGATCAAGCTGTTTCTCACATTTAGAGGAATGTTTTCCAAAATGTCTATTAAATTATTTTGCAAAAAGAGTAAATAAGTGTCTCCATTCAAATTATCTGGAAGAGAGTACAAACCGTCGGACCCATGAGAGTTCTGCCAATCACTGCTGCCAATGCATTCATACTGAATTTGTGTTGAAAAGAAATAGCTTTTTTCATGTGCGGGTTTTCGTCAGCATCAGCCCAGTAATGAAGGTTTTGAAACTCTTTGACTCCTTCTCGAGAGAACTTTGACTCGTCTGTGCATAAAATAGTTTTAAGAAAAAATGTATCTTCTATGTCAGCGTTCAACACAAACCGGTAAAATGCACTTCTCCGTTTAGGCTCTCCTTCATCGAGTTCTTGAACAGTCCAGTCGTATAGTGGAAGTTTTCCTTCAATCCTAAGAGTTATCCAAACTCTCCATATGGATAAATTCAGTTGGCGAGCTACTTTGCGAATACTGGTGGTAAGGTCTGCTTCAAAAGCTTCCATAATTTGTTCATCAATGTCAGGCCCATATTGCTCGATATGCATCCGTTCTCTGTGATGAATGTTACCTGTTTCCCTTATACGACGGTTGGTGTTGATAAATACCTGACCATTGTGAACTCTTCTTCTTGGAAATCGTTCTTGATACAATCGCTTAGCTGCTTCCGCATTTCTGTCAGCTCTTCCGTACATGAACAGTATATCGGCATATTCAGCAGTAGAAAAAGATGCCATTACAGAAAATTTCTACACAAAATTTGGCAAAACAACTTCTTCAAAAGCCCAACTGAAACTCTTCAAGCAAAACAATTTTTTGCGTTGGGTCGCCTGATATCCCAAACCAGTCAAAGCGAATTTTATTGGTTGAAAACAGTCAGAAACAGTTAGAAAACTAGTTTCAACTAATGAAATTCACTCTGACTGGTTTGTGATTTTTGCAGAAACAGACCTATTATATTTTGCAGTTTTTTGATTTGCTAGGTTTATCGGAATCATGTCGGAATATTATAACAGAAAGCGCAGGAAGTAAACAAGAGCTGCTTTGGGGTGCCACCCTTTGAGAGCTCCCGAGTCACTCCGAAGTACTCCAGCTACAGTTTGACCGTTTGACCCGTTCGGTTTCGTGCAAAACGCATGGAGTATGACAGATGTGAAGTGTTCCAGGAGCTTCGCACTCTGCACCCTAAAGCGGTTAAGAAATAATAGGGCAATCCAACGACCTGTCAAAACGAAATTCAAAATGGAGGTCAATGCCTTTTTATTTTGAAAAAATGCCGGTTTATTGCGATTTTTGATTTGTATAAGGTCTGTAAAGTGTTTATTTTTTGGAAAATGCATACGTTACGTATAGTATTAGTTGTGGAAACCGTTCTAATCGCGAGAAAGTCTCGTATCATGCCGTTCCTGCAGAGACAAAACACAGGTTTTTAACGGAGAAAAACTATTTGTCTATACTGTTTAAGGGCTTCATGGATTGTAACAAAAGAGAAAAAATCTGACGAAATCCATATTAAAAAACCTACATAAACGATGTATGGATCCAAGCCATTTACTATCCTCCACATCAACTTGTGTCGATAGGTACCTTGAATAGCAGACAACAAACAAATAAAATATATATCAGGATTCAGGAGTTTGTTAAGAAAAAACTAAACAGGAAACAAATCCTGGATAGTACCTACCTAATTCTTTAGTAGGTAAACGTTTGTCACAAAGAAATCATAACTGTTGCAAACATCCGGGTTTTCCACTAATAATTTCTTAAACTAAAAACTTTCCATCTTGAAATACGAAAATTATCCTTCCAAGCACTAGAAAATCATCTAAAAACCCCAAAAAATACACAAAAAACAGTTTTTTGATGAAAAATGTCACGGTTGTTTGAATTTAATTTATGGCGCCAATTTTTCGGCATTGGCCGCCATTTTGTTTGGATTGCCCTATTTGAAAGTTGAGGTTAGATTTTCGTGATCGGAACAAACTATTCACAAAAAAAAAAGTTTAATATGTTCAGAATTTCTCGGATCATGAGTCGCTAGCTGTCAAATGTCAAAATTCGAAAGAACGTGATTACTGGAATATAACGCGTTTTGATCAACTGATCCGGTCCGAAAGAATGCGGCTTTGAATAAAATCTATCATCAAAAGCTCATAATTATATTAATTTTGATGCAATTTAACTTAATTAGGCCATAAATAAGTCCTAATTTATTATTTTACTCGATTTTGAAGCTTGCGATTGCAGCGCCATCTCGTGACAAATTAGTGTAGCTCCATTATTGTTTCAAGATGGCTTACGCGTTTTTTTTTTATTGCCGGTTTTTTGTTGAATTTTCCAATTTTCCATATTTTATTAAGCATTAACATCAAATATCTAAATTATTTAACTAAATTTTAAACAAAAAACCATTTAAAATGTAATTTTTTCCTATTTGAAATGTGGCAACGTCGCTTTTAATCAGGCCTTGTAATGAAATGTCATTTAGTCTTAGTCATTTGTCAGTTTTATTTTGACAGTAGGCTATTTTTAATTGATGTGTTTACATTTTATCCAGATTAGATTTTCCTCGAATTTTCCGCTTTTCCAGGCCGTTTTCAATCGGGAAAACTGATTTAAAATACGAGGTTTCATTTTCCGCCAAAAATTTCCAATTTTCCAAGGGGGTAAGTAAGGAAAATTTAAGTTTTATTAAGTAGGTTTTGGAATGTTATTTTTGCTGGTGTTTCTTTGGATTTTCCGTTTTTCCAGGTGTTTTCGAGCGGGAAAACTGATAAGTACGAGACTTAAGTTTTCTTTATTTTTTGCCAAAAGTTTCCAGTTTATTGGTTGAAAATGTATTTATAGAAATTCTCACGAAGTGACGTAATTAGTTGTTTTTAAAAAAATTAGCCCAACTATGAACTACATATCGAGGGCTGAAACGCAGGACCTCGTAATTAACATTTTCGACGAAATCGGGTTTTTGATGTAGTTGTCTTCTTTTATGTGAGCGCCATCTATTTTCGAAAGGACAAAATTCTACAAAAATTATTTATTTGTGAAAATAAACGAAAACAGTAACTCGTAACTTATTGCGCTGGGTTTCCCGAAGCATAACCTCGTAAATACAACACTGCTCAGGTTGGCGCCATTTAGGTATTGTCAAGGTAAGTGCTTTTGAGAATTCTTAGTATCAAAATATTATGAAAACTAATGTGTAGGGTTGAATTTTGCTATTAATTGTTTAATTAGACAATAATCTTTATTCTGGCATAATAATTTTCCGGATATGGAAATCATTTTAGGTGAAATTTCACATTTAATTACAGGTGTTAGATACGAGGTCCTGCTCCATAATATTTTCGTCAAGGAAGACCTCGTAACTACAACAATGTTAAGTTTGGGCCATTTAAGACTAGTCAAGGTGAGTGGTTTTGTGAATAGTATGTGAATAATGTGAAATAACTAATGTGTAGGGTTAAATTTTGCTGATAATTATCAAGGTAAACAATAATCTTAATAGTCCCATAGTGAATTTCCTGGATTGTTGATGATTTTACGTGAAATTTTCCATTTTTAATTGCAGATGTTAGTTACGAGGTCATGTTCCACATTGCTCTAGAGAAGATACGAGGTACTGCTGCCTAAAAATGTCTAGTCGCACGAAAAAAATTTTGGAATTGGCCAAACTACCACATTCTAGCGAAAATAATACTGAAGAAAATGATTATTCTCTTCAAGAAATCAGTGAAATTGAACTATCAGGAAATATTCTTTTAAATAAAGCCTTAGCTCCAGAAGATATTTCTAATATCATCAGAGAAGTCGAGAATGTCTTTGATAACGATAATGCCAGCGATAATCCTGATAATAGTATTAATAGTGCTGAAAATCACAATCACAATGAACAATACCATCCCGGAATCGGAAATAATGAAACCATACACGACGTTAACGAAATTGGAACACGACAACTAGATGAAGCCTTAAGTTCAGAAGATATAATTACTATTATCAATGAAGCCGAGATTATCTTTGATATTAACGAAAATCCAAGCGATTGTCATAATAACAGTGCTGTTTTGTCAGACATAACAAACGTGGTTAGTTGGCAAAAAGAAAATCAAACTCACGATAAACAATCTCATCTCGTAAGTAATGATATCAAACAAAAGGTAAATGAAATTGAGACACAACAACATGGGGATGACATTAATATTGCGAATATTATCACAAAATCTGGAGAAGAAAATATAGAAAAACCCGTTGTTCTAGATTTAGCATGCAAAGCTCATAGACCAGAACAAACTGACGTTTATGACAATGATGACTACAGCCCAGAAAGTGAAACAGACAGCGAAGAAAGTATGGAAATCGATGAAGATGAAATACAGCTACAGGTCAATGTTATTGAAGATGAAACTGAGAATGAAAATGGAACAGTGAAGAGAAATGAAAAAAGAACAAATAAGAGGTTTATCAATAAGCAATTAAGAATGGCGGGAAAGCGGTATTTAGGGTTTAGAAAGCCACGGAATCAAAGCAATACGTTTCATGATACAACAAGAACAGAGAGAAAATTAGGTGCCAGGTGCAGCTGTAAACAAAAAGCCAAAGATCCGACAAGAAAATGTTTCAAGGTGACGGAAGGAATGCGCCAAGCTATTTTTCAAAACTTTTGGTCTAACATGACGTGGGATCAACGAAAAGTGTACGTCAGTAATACTGCTAAAGTGACTGAAAAGGCTAGACCAAAAGAAGCAGAAAGCTCTCGACGAAATATAACCATCAAATATTTTTTGATTTGTGGAAATGAAGAAGTACCCGTGTGTAAAATCATGTACTCACACACTCTTTCTTTGGGAGAATGGACTATCAGATCATGGACAACCCAAAGCAATAATAGGATGAATAAGAGTACTCAGATAGAATTAAGTCAACATAATCCAAGAAATTATTTGTTTAAAGAAGATCGAGATTTCCTCATAGAATTTCTCACTAGTTTAAACAAACTTCCCTCGCATTATTGCAGGAAGGATACTGATAAGCTTTATTTAGAACAAAATTTTCAATCTTTTGCTCAACTTCACAGGGTCTACGAAATTAAGTGCCAGGAGAATGAAAAAAAACCTTTATCTGCTAAGACATTAACAAAAATGGCTGAAGAAATGAATTTAGCGCTATTTCGTCCAAGGAAAGACCAATGCGATATCTGTTTCAAATACAAAAATGGCAATTTATCTGAAATGGACTACAGTGAACATATTAACATGAAAAATAGCGCCCGAAAGGAGAAAGAAGAAGATAAAAAAAAGGCCTTAGAAGGACAGTGCAATGTTATTGTAATGGATGTTCAGTCTGTCAAGTTAGCACCACAGCTAAAAGCTAGCGCTCTTTATTACAGAACAAAATTGTGCTGCCATAATTACACAATCTATAACCTTAAAGATAGACGAGCTACTTGTTACTGGTACGACGAGACTAACGCGGACGGTCAAGCATCTACCTACGCATCATTTCTTGTAGACTACCTGGAAGAGAATTTTCTGAACCCAAGTAATCCAATGATTCCTATTGTCATTTACTCCGATGGGTGTACTGCTCAGAATCGCAATTGTGTAATATCTAACGCTTTACTTCACGTGTCAGAAAAATACAAAGTGTGTATAACCCAAAAGTATCTAGAAAAGGGTCACACTCAAATGGAGTGTGACTCTGTTCACAGTGCTATAGAGACCTCACTCAAAAATAAAGAGATTTACTTGCCCTGTGATTACCTACGGGTTACTAAAGAATCTCGTCAGAAGAATCCTTACATAGCCAAAAGCATGGACTATTCGTTTTTCAAAAATTACGCTAGTTATGTCACCAACCAAGACGATATAACGCTGACATAGCATCTCTAATTTCTTTATATAAATTGCTTCCATCGAACTTTAGTTCACTTTTTACTTAGCTATATGATTGTCAATTAGTTTTAATTTTTAGAATAAAGTTTTTAAAAACGGTGTCGGTCGTCTCGATAAGTTAACTGGCGCAGTCGGAATAGGATTTTCCAGGAATCGATAGTGCATCGCGTCGTATCGATTTGTTCAGATCCGTGATTAACTGGAAATCGAACTTTGGTGATTTGTGTTTGGCAGAGCGGATTTCTAAAAATCGAACACCCCAGTCTATCGAAGACCTGCAGAAGAACACGATCATCGGAAACTAGAACCAAATCGTCTAGTTTCGCAAGAACAAGGAATTTTGGGAGGACCATATCGCTGATCGAAAACCTTGTTCTCATAGAAGAGATGACCGTAATCTCCGCTTACCTAGTACTGTAAGTTGCAATTATAATAATTTATGTCCGATTTAGATCAAATTATTAATTCATTAGAAAATTTAGTCATAAATACACCTTCAGCCAACTCAGCTCAAATTTCTAATCAAAATTCATTCAATTCTCCTTTGGAAACTATTTCTGAAGAACAAAATTTACGTTTAGACAATCTATTTAACGAAAATACTGATTCTTCCAATATGAGCTTCAAAGCTGAATATTTGAACTGTGTACCTGATTTTGATGGTAATCCGAATGATTTATCGAGATACCTAAATATTTGTCAAACCCTTATAGATAAATTTTATAATACAACTAACATCGATTGTTTTGAAAATATTTATCTACTTAACTCATTGATTAGTAAACTGAAAGGAAATGCAAAACTCGTTATTAACATTAATTCCTCTACTACGTGGGAGGATATCAAAACCACGCTTTGCCGTCACTTTGCGGACCAAAGAGACGAATCGTGTCTGAATAGAGACCTGGTTATGCTTCGCCAACAACCAAACGAAAAAGCAACACAATTTTACGACCGAGTCTTGCACATCCTTAATTTACTATGCTCTTATGTAGACAATCACGAGACTACCATTCAAGCGAAAAATTTGAAAAGAGACTTGTACAATGATCTTGCTCTAACAACGTTTTTATCTGGTTTGAAAGAACCACTAGGTACCACAATTAGGTGTATGAAACCAGAAAACCTATCGAAAGCATTGCAATTTGTGACACAGGAAAGTAACACACATTATTTCCAAAATTCTACTAAAGTTACTCAAAATCAACCAGTGCAGATTCTAAGACCCTTCCAAAACAGACCAAATTTTCAACCTTCAAAAATTTTCGCTCCCAACCAATCATTCAGACCAATGATGCAGCAATTTCCTTCTCAACCGATAAACATTAGGCCAGTTTATAGGACCCCTCAAAAATTCTTCACCAACTCGCAAGTATTTGGAAGACCCCAGAATGTTTTTAGACCAAATCAATCACGTTATACTACTCCTGGCACTCCTATGTCGGTATCGACTAGAAACACAGGAAGACCAAACTTCAACAACAATTCTAATAATGCTTCTCAAAGTTTTAACCAACAACAACCGCAAAAAATGGATGTTGAAGAGTTATTCAATACTGAGACCGATCAATCAAGTAACGATGATCAATACTGTTTTGACCAGTATAGGCAGTATGACCAAAACCAATACTACAATCAATATTATTATACATACGACCAACAATACCCAATCTTTTATGAACAAGCTTATTACCAAATCAATGATCCCCAAAATGAACTCCTGAATAATGAACAAACCGCAGATTCAACCTCTATATCTGAAGAAACAAACGAGGCCGTAAATTTTACCGAAACACCTCAAATAGAGGACAAAAGATAAATCCAACAGCCATATCATTCAATATGGCTTGTTCAAGTGAATTGCCCTATGTTATTTTTCCTGAACATAATATAAAAATATTGATTGATTCTGGATCAACTAAATCGTTCTTAGATCCAAACTTCGTAAATAAATTTTACCCAAATTTTATCTCTATTGACCCATTTATTGTTTCAACCGTCTACCAAAAATCGGCCCACCAATTCAGTGCATGTATTCCCTCGTCAAAATTATTTAATCTGCCATATCAGCAAAATTTAAAATTCTACTTATTTAAATTCCACGACTATTTCGACGGCCTTCTAGGAATCGACAACCTCAAACTATTACAAGCGAATCTTGACTTTGGAACCGGATTTCTTGTAACACCTCATGTCAGCATTAAATTACGATTCCACAAAACCCAGCCGCAAATAAACTGTATCACAATACCCCCTCGAGTTCAACAAGTTATAAAAATACCAACGAATATAAAACATGGCGAGATAATAATCTCTCATCAGAAAATACAGAATTGTGAAATACCAGAATGCCTTACTACAGCAAAAAACGGTTTCGCATTAACCACTATTCTCAATAATACGACTCAACCAGTAACATTAGACTTCTCGATCCCATTTACCGTGGAAAAATTCCAGCGAAATGAAATCAGAGAAATAAATTTAAATAATTTCAACGACTCCCCAGATACAGGAATAGATCTTTCAAAATTCCGTACTGATCACCTGAACCCTGAAGAAGAAAACGGACTTTTACAATTAATCACCGAATTCTCAGATATATTTTATCACGAGAACTCCCCATTAACATTTACTAATAAAATAAAACATCAAATTAAAACCAGCGATGAAATTCCCATATACACTAAATCATACCGATATCCTTTCATACATAAGAAAGAAGTAGAAACGCAAATCCAAAAAATGCTTGACCAAAACATAATTCGACCTAGTAGCTCTCCTTGGAGTTCACCAATTTGGGTGGTCCCCAAAAAATTGGACGCATCTGGGAAACAAAAATGGAGAGTCGTAGTCGACTACAGGTCATTAAACGCTAAGACGATTGACGATCGCTATCCTCTCCCCAACATTACAGACCTTTTAGACAAACTCGGTAAATGTCAATATTTTTCAACTCTTGACCTAGCGAGCGGATTTCATCAAATTGAAATGGCTCAAAATGACGTAGAAAAGACAGCTTTCAGTACAGAAAATGGACACTTTGAATATCTGCGGATGCCATTTGGCTTAAAGAATGCTCCTGCGACTTTTCAGAGGGTCATGGACAACATTTTAAGAGGCATTCATAATGAGCATTGCCTAGTCTACCTAGACGATATTATCGTGTACTCTGTATCATTACAAGAACATCTTAAAAAACTCAGGTTGGTTTTTGAACGCCTCCGCGAATCAAACTTCAAAGTCCAACTCGACAAGTCAGAATTCTTGAGAAGGGAGGTGGCCTATTTAGGTCACGTTGTCACACCAGAAGGAGTTAAACCAAACCCCGACAAAATTCGTGCCATCAAAGAATTTCCACTTATGAAAACCACTAAACAAATAAAAGGTTTTCTTGGTCTGATTGGCTACTATCGCAAGTTTATAAAAGATTTCGCAAAATTAACCAAACCCCTTACAAAGTGTCTGAAAAAAGGTGCAAAAATAGTTCATAATGAAGAATTTCTAACCTGTTTCGAAACTTGTAAAAACATCCTCACAAATGAGCCAATCCTCCAATACCCCGACTTCAACAAACCTTTCAATCTCACAACGGATGCAAGTAACGTTGCTCTGGGCGCAATATTGTCCCAGGGACCAATTGGGCAAGATCTGCCAATTGCGTATGCGTCACGCACTTTAAATAATAGCGAAACACATTATTCTACCGTCGAACGAGAATTATTAGCCATCATCTGGGCCACTAAATACTTTCGCCCCTATCTTTTTGGACGCAAGTTTAGCATTATAACCGATCACAAACCCCTTCAGTGGCTATTTTCGATTAAGGATCCCACGTCCAAACTCCTAAGATGGCGCATTAAGCTAGAAGAGTTCGACTATCATATTGTCTATAAATCAGGCAAATCAAATACCAACGCTGACGCGCTTTCACGCATCGAGCTCCACATGAAAGAAACAGAAGACCATTTTCCTCTGAAAAAATATATCGAAGACTTCAACAAAGAATTGGAGCAATCAGAACAATCTGCTGACAAACAAGACAAAAATCTAGATTTAATTTCAAATATAGCTCAAGCAGACGAAATGTCCACCCACGCAAATGACGAACCTCCCGAAAACACCCATCATGACCCCGAGCGACTACTAAACGATGACGTCACAGTACATACAAATGTAGAAGAAGATCCTATTGTTGGGATACCAATAATAGAAACTGCGGTGAATTATGGCGCTAATCAAATTATCATTTCAAAAGTATTCCACTCCCCCGCAAAACCCAAAATGTCCATTTTATTTGAAAAAAAGAGACGAATACTTGTCCAACTCTCAGAAAACAATTTCGAAAACGACGTAATAAATCTTGTTAAAGAAAATGTAGTCCCTGATAAACTTTATTATTTATTCTTCGAAAACCCGGAAGTTTATGAACCATTTTGCGAAGTAATCCGTAAAACTTTTAAATATCCTTCCTTAAGGTTTAAAAAATGTACCACCAAATTATTAGACATATTCGATCATAATGAAATCCCTAACATCATAAGAAACTACCACGAAAGTAAAACCAACCATAGAGGAATAGACGAGACAGAACTTAGGATTAAATCAAAATATTATTGGCCAAATCTCAAAAAATCAATCCAGACTTTTATTAATCAATGCGAAATTTGTCAGAAAAGTAAGTACGAGAGGCACCCGGTTAAAATGCAGATGAATGTAACACCAACAAGTTCAAAACCCTTCGAAGTATTACATGTAGATACTTACACTTTAGAAAATTCAAAATTCCTAACAATAACCGATAGCTTCTCAAAATACGCCCAAGCATATTACCTAAAATCGCTAAACGCCACCGACATAGCTGATAACCTATTGCAGTTCTTCTCCCATCATGGACTACCAGATTTAGTCACTTTTGATAATGGGACTGAATTCAAAAATAATGTTATCACAGAACTATTGCTTTTACATAAACTAAAAATTCATTTTGGATCCCCACATCATCCAGCATCCAACGGAATAGTTGAAAGAATGCACTCAACTTTGGCAGAACACGTCCGACTTTTAAACAATCAAGGTTTTTCGAAAAGTCCAATAACCCATAAAGTGACTTACGCAATTTTGGCGTATAACCATACCATACACTCAGCTACCAAAATGAAACCAATAGACATAATAAATGGGCATATTTCTAGTAATGACCCTTTTAATCAAAATCTAGAACATACACTCCTGAGCAATTACGTTAACGAACATAAAGAAAAATCAAAATTACTTTATTCAACAATCAACGAAAAATTAATCGAAGATAAGACGAAACTTATAGAAAAATTAAACGAAAAACGTGACACCCCTGACCTATTCCAACCTAATCAAATTGTCTATGTGCGAAAACATGAACGGAAAAAGTTGTCTGATAAATTCTCTAAGCCAACTGAAATAAAGTCGGTTAACCCTGAACGAAAGACGATCACTACAGACGCCCACGGAAAAATACATATGGATAATCTTAAAAAACCTCTTAGAAATACGTACAGTTTTGACTAGAATTCATTTTACAGCTAGGTTTCCTATTTCAGGTTCGTCGGCTTCGCACTTGTCGTTGGTAACGAGATAACTTTAAGAAAATTGGACGACAATGTTGGAATTATGCCGATTAAGCTAGGATCTGCAAAATGTGTCGAATATACTTATACTTTAATGCATTATTTTGATTTAAACCCAATTTTATCCGAATGCAATAAACTATACGAAAGACATAACAACATTTCAAACCTAATAGACACGCACCCTGGATATTTGAATGACAGTCAGAACTATATTAAGCTCCTTAACATTTTACAAGTGAGGATTGCAACCAAGATATCAGAAATTGTGCCTCATCCAAAACGATTAAAAAGAGGATTAGTTAACGTTGTTGGATCAATGTTTAAAGCTATCACAGGAAACTTAGACGCATCTGACGGCGAATATTATGACGAAGTAATAAAAAATTTACAAAACAACCAAAATGAGTTAGCAAATAACATTTTGAAACAAAACTCCTTATCCGTCAATGTTATCAATAAATTTAATCAAACTTTGCAACAAATGTATAACAATGACAAATACTTAGAATCAAAGATAAATCAAATCGCCATGATAGTTCAAAGTTCTGCTTATAGAGAAAATTCACTGTTTATCAAGGATGTCTTGATACAAATGATCAATACATACGAAATAATTGAATCCATACTACAAGACTTGGAAAATTCAATAACATTTGCAAAATTAAGCATCATTCATCCCAGTATAATTAAAATTAACGATCTCTATAAGGAACTCCTTATTATGCAAGAAAAGTTAGGATATAACCAAATGGTTTTACCAATCTCCTTAGAAAACACTTTTCTTTACGAAAAACTGATTAATATCGATTGCTTTATCCTTAATAATAAAATCAATTTCTTGCTTCGCATACCTGTTTCTTACCCAAAATTATTCGAGTATTTTCATTTGTATTCCATACCAGTCATATATAAGAGTTGGTTTAGGGCTGTTCTAACGCGAAATAATTATTTAATAAAAAATGAATTGCACCATGCGTACTACGGTCAGCCCTGCACAAAGGTAACCACCAATCTTTATCTTTGTAAACAAGAAGAGCTCCAGAAAAACGAAGACAACAATTCTTGCGAAATTGCACTATTAGACGCAGATCCGCAGACGTCAACTTGCCAAAAAACACAAGTAATTATCACCCGACCAATAATCAACCAACTAGAAAATTCAAATCAATGGATTTTTGTAATGCCAAAAGAAGAAACCATCAAACTTAAATGCAGTGCGCAAGAAGAAATCCGAAGACTACACGGAACGTACCTTGTCCAAATCCCTAACGATTGTTTGATCAAAACCAATAATCAAACAATAATAAATGGAAATCGATCGACGAATGCAACCCTTCAACCAATAATATTTCCTGACTGGCCGAACATTCCAATTGCACCGAATCAGTTAGATTTATCAGTGCATATCAAAGAAATCAAGCTAGACGACCTTGTTGACATAAAGAAGCAAATTCAAGCGAACTACCCTCAGTTGCACTCTCCTCAGCTCTACCATTACCCAAGTATATGGACCATGTTCATTTATGTGGTTCTTATCACCTGTTTTGGGGTAATGACCTACAAAAAGTATATCCAACCAAGATGTTTAAAGAAAAATCCAGAACAAGACGAAGGAAGAATCGACCCCCGAGTTGTTCAACTACCCCTCTAGACGGCCTAGTTGAATCCGAGGATGGAGGAGTTATGTCACCAACCAAGACGATATAACGCTGACATAGCATCTCTAATTTCTTTATATAAATTGCTTCCATCGAACTTTAGTTCACTTTTTACTTAGCTATATGATTGTCAATTAGTTTTAATTTTTAGAATAAAGTTTTTAAAAACGGTGTCGGTCGTCTCGATAAGTTAACTCGCTCATAAGGATTACTTGAAGTATAGTTCAATTCGGCCTAGCAGAACGGGTGGAGACAGCAATGTTGTTGATATACGTGTACTTCAGTATTACGAAGATAAAATTAGATTCAAGCTGAACTTTGAATCTGAATTTAAAGATTTACCAATCAGACCAAAGATCATACAGTTAGGCAACGTCATATTTCCCCAACTTTTCAGGCAAAGGCTACCTATTTCAAGCATCAAATACTCGCACCTGCAAGCGATTAAGCAAGTGATACCAAAAGACTGCTGGGGGTTTTATGACTCCCTTCCTCACAAATAGAATAATGGATTTTCTTTCATTTGTTAAAAAAACAAATACTTATTTATAATATCCTAAAAGTTTTTGAATGAATTTTTAAGTTTGTTTATTTATTTTAGCATTTTATTCAGCTATAATGGATTTTCTTTTATTTGTGCAGAAAAACCAAATATTTTGTAATAGCTAGGATTAAGTTTTTTGAAGAATCTTTAAGTTTATTCAATTTGTTTTGCCATTTTGTTGAACTGGTAGTTAATAAAAATAATTATTTTTATTCCTATTTCAAATTCCTTATTTCCTCAATATTATTGCATAACCACGTAACTGACATACTTTTTACAACATTAACTCGTAAGTGACGGTTATTTCTGAAAATCCCTACTGAAGTTTTTTTTTTCTCACTGCATTTATTTATTCCAAGTATTTTCGAATAAAAAAATATCCCAACTTCGATAATTAATTCCCATTTATATTTTAAACAGTTTTTTGGTGCTCCTGCACATTTTATGATTTGTGAGATACGAGGTCCTGCGTTTCAGCCCTCGATATATAATATTGTTGTGTGTACCATTCTATAGAATGCCTATTAAAATCCTCTCAGTAATGATAAAATAAATCCAAGTTGAATCATATTCTTACAAAAAATGGTTGAATGTCACCGAAAAGATAAAATCGTGCTTCCTGTAAAATTGGAGAAATTGAGATACGACAGTACATGGTGAGAATGGTGAGATAGGGAAGGAATTTATTCTATCCAACACCTGTTAGTTATAAGAGGCATTATTTGTACCAATTTAGACAGGTAAACTATCAAATAACACACTAGTGTTATAAACCATAACGCACTGGTGGGTTATGATTTATAACTCACTCTCTTATAACGTCAACGCAAAACGTCAGGGCATAAATTCATTTAATTTATTTATTTAAAGATCCTTTACCTGTGCTTTGATATTTCTCTTTCCCATCCTTCTGGTCGCTGCCAGCTTCGTCTTGCCCCCACTGGTCGTCTCGTCACTGGCCGAAGGACTAGTGGGACTGTTCGGCGGCTCTCGACCGCTGTCGACACTCTTCGACCGTCGCCTACTCGGATTGCTTTGCGCCACTCGCAAACGATTGTCGCCGCTACTGGGCCGAGCGCACTCGGTCGAGTCTTTGCCGCCATTCACCGACGAGTAGTGGACGACGTACGACGGCGTGGTGACCTAGTAGGTATTATTTAATTGACTAAACTGCTCGCCAAAAAAAAACGGGGTAATTTTTAGCACTATATATTTTTGTTTTTATTGCGGATTCTGGTATTCGATAGTCCATGTTGTAGACCACGTGGGACAAGAATATTTTTTTCGAAGAAATGCATTTTTGAAGTTATACAGGGTGAATACTAGATTGATGCAAAAATACAAAAAGTATGGATGTCTGCCATATTGACAATAATTTTTTTTTCGGATTTCTGTATAGGCCTTTAGTAAGTTGACATCAATATCTCCAGACGTTTTTGCCAGTTTTTTGATAAGTGCCCTTTGGCAGCAGATACAATATTAAACAACAAAGTTTACAAAATCTTGTGAGCACAATGTTTAAAGGGCTGTATCTTGAAAACGGTTGTATTCATTTCGAACATCTTTGCAAGTTTTGAAAGCCCATTTTTTCTGGAGGTGCCACGACTCGCTTGCTTTTTTTGCAGATGGCCCTGTTTACATTATACAGGGGCGAGGAAAAAATACATCTCAAATTAGGCAAATTATGATAATTGTTCTTTCAACTCTATAGAAATTGATCTGTATGCCTTTTTTTTTCTTTGAAAATTGGTTAGGTGATACTCTGGGCCAATATCTCGGAACACTTTTTCCATTTTTTGCATAAGAGTTTCCTGAAAAGCCATTTTAGCACCACAATGTTGGAACGATGTGGCTCACGGTTTATTGGATTGTGAAACGTTTTCCCACAATGGAAGCTCATTTCATGACAATTAATCGGCTATTTTTGGAAATTTAAATTTTCTCATTATACAGGGGTTGCACAAAAGTAAAAGTGAGTTTCCTGAACATTCTCAAACGGCTTTAGCTTGAGAAAAATTTTGGAAGCTTATTTTATGGAAGTTAACTCTCTTATTTTTTAAAGGAAAACTTTGCATTATACAGGGAGAATTATTTGGCTATTTTTGAAAATTGAAATGTTCTCATTATAAAGGGGTTGCGTCAAAGTAAACCTGAGTTTGACAAAAATTCTCAAACGGCTGTAGCGTGAAAACAATTTTGGAAGATCATTTTATGGAAGTTAACTCTCTTATTTTTCTAATGGAAATCTTCGCATTATACAGGGATTACCGAAAAATAAACTTAATTTTGCAAAAAATGCTTGAATGGCTGTAACTTGAGAACGCTTTTGGAAACTCATCAGTTTGTCTCATTTTTCACGACCTGGCGTGACTTTTTTTGCATAACATACCCTTTTAGTATACACAGATCAAGCATAAAAACAAAATTAAAATTGCCCAAAAATGGTTAGTACTGGTAGTTTTGAAGTTATGCGAATTGGCTTATTTTCCAAACTTGCTGTTCAAACGTCGAAAAAGTGATTTTACTTTGTTGATTAGTGCTCTTTGGCTACAGATACGCTAGTTTTCTTATATCGTTGGTAATTGAATAGCATTGTTTTCGTAAGTTACAGCCATTCAAGCATTTTTTGCAAACTTAAGTCTACTTTTCGGTAGTCCCCGTATAATGTTAAATTTTTCATTGAAAAAATTAGAGAGTTAACTTCCATAAAATCATCTTCCAAAATTGTTTTCACGCTACAGCCGTTTGAGAATTTTTGTCAAACTCAGGTTTACTTTTACGCAACCCCTGTATAATGAGAACATTTTATTTTCCAAAAATAGCCGAATAATTCTCCCTGTATAATGCAAAGTTTTCCATTAGAAAAAATAGGAGAGTTAACTTCCATAAAATAAGCTTCCAAAATCGTTCTCAAGCTAAAGCCGTTTGAGAATGTTTAGAAAACTCACTCTTACTTTTGTGCAACCCCTGTATAATGAGAAAATTCAAATTTCCAAAAATAGCCGATTGATTGCCATAAAATGAGCTTCCATCGTGGGAAAACGTTTCACAATCCAATAAACCGTAAGCCACATCGTTCCAACATTGTGGTGCTGAAATGGCTCTTCAGGAAACTCTTATGCAAAAAATGAAAAAAGTGTTCCGAGATATTGGCCCCGAGTATCACCTAACCAATTTTCAAAGAAAACAAAAGGCATCATACAGATCAATTTCTATAGAGTTGAAAGAACAATTATCATAATTTGCCTAATTTGAGATGAATTTTTTTCTCGACCCCTGTATAATGTAAACCGGGCCATCTGCAAAAAAAGCAAGCGAGTCGTGGCACCTCTAAAAAAAATGGGCTTTCAAAACCTGCAAAGATGTTCGAAATCAATACAACCGTTTTCAAGATACAGCCCTTTAAACATTGTGCTCACAAGATTTTGTAAACTTTGTTGTTTAATATTGTATCTGCTGCCAAAGGGCACTCATCAAAAAACTGGCAAAAACGTCTGGAGATATTGATGTCGACTTACTAAAGGCCTATACAGAAATCCGAAAAAAAAAATATTGTCAATATGGCAGACATCCATACTTTTTGTATTTTTGCATCAATCTAGTATTCACCCTGTATAACTTCAAAAATGCATTTCTTCGAAAAATATATTCTTGTCCCACGTGGTCTACAACATGAACTATCGAATACCACAAACCGCATTAAAAACAAAAATAAAATAAAAAAGTTATTTCAAATTGAATATAGTGCTAAAAATTGCTTGTCCCGTTTTTTTTGGCGAGCAGTTTATTTCATACACTAAAAATCCTAAAGGCAGCAGTATTTTTGTCATTATAACAGCGAAAAAAGTTTACCCTAACTTCTCCAGCTACAAAACGGAACCTAACGTTTAAAAGTCTTTCCGAATCACACTCAAGTTTTTCTGTCGAAGTAAACTTGACATACATAATTCTGGCTGGGTTAGGTAATTGCATCTGCCAGCAAAAAGAGTAAATTTTGACGGACGTCACGTGATCACGTATCTTTCCATTCTTCCAATCAATAGACCCACGGGTCTATTGGAGGATTCGGAAGTACGACGTACAACCCGTGGGTCTATTGGAGGATTGAGAAGTTTGGCAATGAGCGGAGAACCACGCAACTTCTTCCAACAGCACCGATCTGTAGGGTCATGGTGGCTTGGTTCGTTAGAGCGAAGCACCAACAATGCTGAGGACGCCGGTTAGAATCCCGCCCAGGACCAAAATTTTTAATCCTCCAATTTTCCTTAACTTTTTCTTAATTTTCAAAAAAATTCTCTTTGAAATGTCAAATTTACTTCGACCAAAAAAAAAAGCTCTCGTGTGAAAATAAACCAGAAAACTATCAGCTGTATGCAACATCCTCTTTTAACTTAAAAGCGCTTTTAAAACCTGTCACTTTTAAAAATGTGTATTCTGAACTACCCAAATTTTTAAAGATATCAGTTTTAAAAAGCGCTTTTAAGTTAAAAGAGAATGTTGCATACTGCTGTATGATTATAGGAATAGAGGATTCTTACTGTTAGATTCTCGTTGGAAGGATAGCTGACGCTGATTTTTACTCTTTCGTGCTTTCGGGGGCTCGGAGAGGCGCTGCTGTTGGTAGTCACGGTGGCGGTGCTGCCGTTGGGCGATCCGTGAGGCGCGGCCGCTTTGGAGGCGGACGAACCGCTGCCGCCGCGTCCCCGATGGATCCGCAGCGTTAAACGTTGGTGTTCAAAACGATTGCCTGGCGAACCTGAAATTTGTGAGATACAATTAATTCTATTTTCTATTATTTGTTGGATCTAGTGATCGAAAGAGCAGGCTTGTGCATTGTTTTTCTAAGAAGGCCTGCTTTTATTGGAATTTGAGTAAATTACCTTTAACCACCATACATCATACCTCGTTTCAAAGATCATTATCACCCATCAGACACCCTGTTTAGTTAAAAACACAACA